ATTTAGATCCAAACATCATGGCAGGTCTAATAACGACCATATAAAATATTCCCTTTAGTTTTTGCAGGACCTTCCTGTCATACAAAACTCTTGAGGCTGACCTCCACTTTAACTAACTTGCCTTAATACAACGGGTGACGTCTACATCTACAACCCCACCCCCTTTTCTATGGATCATGGAACCCAAATACTTGAAGCTCTCCTTCGGGATAAGAGCATGCTCCCCTAAACTTACATCTACTCCTTCATTATTCACCTCCCCATTGAAATTGTACCGAAGGTACTTGGTCTTAACAATACTAAGGCATAGCCCTTTTCTTATAATATCACCCTCCGTGTGTCCAACCGAGTAGTCAACCCAGCCCTAAACTCGGCCACCAACACAATGTCATCTGCAAAAAACATACACCAAGACTCTTCCCCCTGAATATCATGAGACATTTGATCTAGAATCAAGACAAAGAGATACAAACCGAGAGTCGAGCCGTGATGAAACCTGATTTCAACCGGGGACGGATTGGTGTCTCCGACTAGTGTCTGGATACATGTAAAAGTTACTCTAAAGTTATGTATTAAACATCAAGGACCGTAAAAGTGTAATACTATAAAAAACTTACTCTAAAGTTATGTATTATATACATCAAGGACTGAACATGTAGAATAGAAAACCTAAGGGTGTTTTTCTATCGCGTGTGCCAAAATTTCCCAAAACGCTGATAATTTGAGTTTGGAGCTCCAAATCACGAATACTTGGAATCTATCTACTGTGCCAAAATTTCTCAAAATGTCGAATTTGATGAGCTCGACAACGAGCAAGATAATGTTAATGGCTACAAGAGACTACTGTTTGACGATAAACCCAAGCACGACCAGGGTTCTAACTTTCAACCGTCGTTTAACCTGCTCCGCCGCCGCAACGCTGAGGTTAGTTCCAAACCCACCTGACCTAATCAAATGGGTCAGAAGAGAAGGTGGTTTCGTCCACCCTTCTGTGAGAATTGCAGAATCCGGTCCATATGGGCTTGGATTAATCGCGTCTGAAGAAATCCATAAAGGGTCTGAACTAATTGCCCTCCCGGAGCACATCCCGTTGCGGTTTCCGGTAAATGATTCCGGTGGTGGAGATGAGTCTTACTCCAATTTGGTCAATCTTACTCGTTACGTTCCTGGTATGTGATATTTCAATAAATTTTTAGATAGTTTTCAATCTGGTGCTTAGAGTTACTAGCAATTTGAATACGCCATTTTGCAAAATAAACATCTGCAAATTCTGATACAAAATACAACACCATTGAAGAAAAAACAATCTCTTTGAAGAACAAGTTTCAGATAGAAAAGAAGATAAGACGCAACAAAATTTGATCCTCAACCATCAACTTTCTTTTGTAATTAACCAATCTGTTCAGAAGTTGAATCCACTAGGTCATGGACTGGTTTCAGCTCAAATTTGGGTTCATATCCAACAATGGGGTGGTGGGCAATTTGCGTGATACCTATATGTTGTAGTAGTAGTTGATGAATAATTGTATAAATTGCCTGTTAACTAACTTTATTTATTAGTAATAACTAATAAAATTTGCTCGAAATTAGTTTATATAGTATATCATGTGATTGTTTTTATTATAGAAAAAACACCATTTTAGTGTTAGTTTTTTTCTTTAGCATTCAAACCAACCTCTAAAATACACACATCGTTCATAATTCATTCTCACACATGGTTGTTCAATTTTTTATGAAATCCACATGTTATGTGAGAAAACAAACATTAGCTCTTCTAAAAATCATAAATCAATAGTGACTTAAGAGGTTCACATGCTAAAATATTCTCTCAATTTTCTCACGGTGTTCAATGGGTTTGTTTTACACATTCCATTATAGGTTAGTAACCCTATTTTGCATTAAGTAGGCTAAAATTGAGTTCTGAAATGGTGTAAAACTGGAATTTGGAGCGTTTGGCAGAGGAATTATGGGCTATGAAATTGGGTTTAAAACTTCTTCAAGAGAGAGCTAAAACCGGTTCCTTTTGGTGGCCTTACATCAGCAATCTTCCCGAATCTTTCACTCTTCCCATTTTCTTTCCCGGAGAAGATATAAAGAACCTGCAATACGCCCCTCTTCTTTACCAGGTACCTCCTCCAGGGGCAAAATAGTCAATTCCGATTTAGTTATTTACCTTTTTCTTTATTATTATCGGTATAAAATTATAAATAAACTTATATTATGTTTCATATTTGCATATATAGGTGAATAAGAGATGCCGTTTTCTTCTTGATTTTGAGAAAGAAGTGAGACGTGAAGTTGAAGATGTGAAATTACAAAATCACCCTTTTGGAGGGCGGGAGGTAGACGCGTCTTCTCTAGGGTGGGCTATGTCGGCTGTTTCTTCTAGAGCTTTCCGGTTACATGGGGTAAAAACTGGAAATCATAGTGATAATATTCCAATGATGCTTCCACTTATTGATATGTGTAATCATAGTTTTACCCCTAATTCGGAAATTGTTCAAGAACAAGGTTCAGGGGATCCAAAGATGCTAGTCAAGGTAATCGTTTTTTTTTTAGAAAAAAGTTATCAAATCCTTTTGTGTAAACATACGAAATTAATTATAGATTCAATGCCCCGTTTTTTTTTTTTTTTTTCAGGTTGTTGCAGGGATGAATATCAAAGAGCGTGATCATATGACACTTAATTATGGTTGCTTGAGCAATGATTTTTTCCTTCTAGATTATGGATTTGTGGTGGCATCAAATCCGTATGATTGTATTGAATTAAAATATGATGGAGGTCTTTTTGATGCTGCCAGCATGGCAGCTGGGGTTTCAAACCCTAATTTCTCTTCACCTTCTTCGTGGCAAAAAGAATTTTTATCTAAATTAAATCTCGAGGGAGAACACGCTATTCTTAAGGTATTATATCATTATCCCTTTATTTTTCAAAAAAAAAAAAGTAAACTTGAATATTAATTTGGAAAAAACCCATTGTATGTAATTAACCCTAATATCAAAACTCGATAACCAAGAAAAATGGTTTATCAAAAGGTGAAAGTACTTTTCTTTATTTTACTCTTTCGAGAAATACTTTCCATTGATTTATTTTTACATCTTTTTTTTCCTTAGGTAACGCTAGGAGGACCCGAAGTAGTAGAAGGCAGATTATTGGCTGCATTAAGAGCACTCTTAACAAATGATGCTGAATCGGTTCAGACATGTGATCTAAATACACTTAAATCATTGTCTATTGAGGCCCCACTTGGATTAGCAAATGAAACAGCTGCTCTTCGGACACTTATTGCATTATGTGTGATTGCACTTAATCACTTTCCCACAAAAATAATGGAAGATGAATCGATTCTTGAAAAGGGTGTTTTGACCTCAACTGAATTGGCTTTAAAATTCAGGATTCAAAAGAAATCGGTGATTATAGATGTCATGAGAGATCTTGCAAAAAGGGTCAAGTTACTTTCTTCTAAAGAATCACTCGTTTCTCAAAGTTAGATGATGTGATGTGTTGTGTTGTATGAACAAATTTGTTTTTCTTTTTGGGTGATTGAATTGTTTAAATGATGATAAATGACTGTTTTATCCTTTTATCTAGAATAAATAGACTTTTGTTTTGTTGTCTATCTCTTAACACGCATTGTATAGAAAAGGAACATAGATGTCATATGCCTTTTTTAGGCTTGATAAAATTAAAGGATCCTGTAGATTTAAGTAATGATGATTGTTGGTGAACTTTGAAGGAATATAATTGCATTTTAGGCATACCAACTATTTCTTTTGATTTTCTATCTAATGGGGTTTTTGGAATTGCTTATTTTACAAACATTTTTCTGGTAGAAGTGATTATTACTTTATGTGGCATCAAATTTTAATTTTAAGAAAAGTATTTGTATTAACTCAGGGGATACTAAAATATACAATAAGCTAATATTGGCTTTTGATGTTTAGCAAATTATATTTATATATGTAGAATAACAAAAAAAAATGACATTAGTGGACGATAAATTAGTAAATTTAGTAAATTAGTATGCGTAACGTTGATCATGAAAATAATGAGGCCGCGAAGGTGCGAACAATATGATTTTTAAAAATAAATATACGGGTAAAACAGTAAATTAGTTTTTACAGGTGATATATATTTTTAAATAATTAGAAAAACAATTTATCAAAGGTTGCTTATTTAGTTACTAAACATTTCTTTTTATTATTTCAAACATTCAAAAACATTATCAACAATATCAAACGACAACCACCTTATTTAAACCCCTTAAATAAAAATATAAACATAAATAAAAATCACAAACACCCTCTAGATAGTGTTTTTTGTTTGAACTTCTATTGTTTTTTAATAAATTACTTTTATTTTCGAAATTGATTTATTTGAATGTATTCAACCCTGGCAAAAAGTATAATCAGGCAGTTTGAAATTTGAAATTCCGTTTTTGTTTTTTCTAGCTCCAAGATTGAAGACTTTGGTCAAAATATCACAATGTTATTCTAAATGATTTGACCAAAATATCTAGAAATAATTCAAATTTGAATTTTTAATAGAGGTTGCTTTTTAGTATCTGAATCAGGTTACTTTAGGAAATTGGTGGGTGGGTGTTCTCACTTTTCGTTTGGTGAAAATCTAACAACTATTGTACAAATCACGAAGAACAAGTTACAACCATTTCGTTGAGTTGAAAACGTATCTAAAATACTACAACTCATGATGCACACGTTACAACCAGTTAATCCTTTGAATATTCAAGATAGTTTGAATATCCTTCTCAGTTTAGGAACAACATACGATGCATAATGTACAAGTATTAAAAGCATAAAACGAAACGTGGTGATCGGAGATATTTTCAACCATGAAACTCATAACTGTATTTATCATCAAAATATTTACATCTAAAGATCAAAACACCAAAACCAGAAGATCATGGCCATGAAATCATGAAAAAGAAAGAAAAAAAAAACAAAACACTGAGCGATCGATGTCGATTTCTGTAGATTTTCTAGGCGTTGCCGACGGAGATACGCCGGTTTGTGATTCCCAAGGGCGAGCGTGAACGCTTCGGCTGCCGTGAGAATTCTCGTAAAACCGATCTCAGCTCCGGTTGCATCGTCTTCTCCAATTCCTGCTTGATTTTCAGAACTTGGCTATGAATGGCCACTGTCGTATACTCGACGTCGTCCTCCTGCATCTGACGGTGGTTGGTTGTGGCGGTGTCCATGGATTCCGACCTTTGCTTCATGAAGATTGAAGAAAAGCAAAACACTCACACCCTTTTCACCTCTCAACTATCTCTCTTTATTTGTATTTGTTTTTGTTTGTGAAGATATTAACTCTAATGCTGTATATATATGGGATTCTAGAGAGAGAAAGTTAGAGAGAGGGAGCGTGACACGGTGACTTCTTGAATGATTAAAATAATGGGAAATTTCTGATTTTATGTCAATTTTTATGCATTTTAAGTTTTTAACGTATCAGAAATCATGTGTGTAATTATGACCAATATAAAACTAGAAAAGAACTTGTTAAACATATTTAAATTATGGAAAAGCCATAAAAACAATATATTCTGTTAAAAATAACCATTTATGTTATATATTTTTATCACTAAAATCATTTTATATTTTAATTTTGTTTAAACCAATGGTTCATGATTATTTTATACAAATGTTTTTATTAAAACCAATATATTTTCGTTCATATTCATTATACCAATATAATTATGAGGCTAATCATAGTTTTTTTTGTAAAAAAAAAAATCAGAACATTAAAAATAAAATATAGTTCTTTTGAATATTGACAGAATTAGATTTTTATAACGTTTTTTCTTAATTTATGCAATTCTTGGTTTAATTTAATTGGAAACGAATAGATGTTTATTTTGTTACGGAATAGGGGTGATGAGCTATTTTGAAGCGTGTCTGGTGATAGGGATTAGGGAAGTTTGACTATAATTATCATTCCGAATTCGTCCTTTTGTTGGATGAATAACAACCCAACTACCATTATGTCAATTTCTCATTTTGTTGTATGAATAACAACCCAACTACCATTATGTCAATTTCTCATTAGTTCCAAGACTGTTTTCTCTTTGTTTTCTTTTAGACCGATTTTGACAATATGTTAGCGTGATCTATGGGTTTAAGATGCTAGACTTGAGTAAACACTTTGACTTGAACCCTATGTAAATTTCAAAGTTAAAAAAAATTCGTTACAACGGTTGTTGACGTTTGTCTTGGAATTAGGAATCCAAGATCAAGTTAGTCGTTTCTTCGAACCAGGTTATTGCCCGGTGTAAAGCACATCAAAGGTGATTGATGGTTTTCAAAATTGATTTTAAGAAAACGTATGACTCGTTATCTTGGAATTACCTTTAGGAGATTTTGGATATTATATTGTTTGAGACCACTTGGTGTGGTTGGATTAGAGTGATGCTTACGTCGGCTACAGCCTCGATTTCGGTGAATGAGTCTTCTACTAATTAGTTTGATATCCAGAGGGTTCTGCGACAAAGGAATCCTCTTTCCAATTTTATGTTTATTACTGCGATGGAAACCCTTTAGATGTCATTAGTGTAGGCTCAACTAAAGTTAGTTGGGTGTTAGATGCATTTTACATGCATCTTTTAGCATGTTTTTCTCGATTATTTTCTTATAAAAAGCTAGCTATCTCCATTGTATTGTTATAACTTGTGTATTACTTATCATATTCATAGAATGCTCCATACTACTCAATTTTGTTATGATTTTCAGGGCAAAGTAAAGTGGAATGAGGATACGACATTTTGAGGAAGCGTTTTATGAAACATCATAGCTTAATTGGAGTTGGAAACTAAAGTTGGATGCTGGGAAATGGTTAGAAGCAGTTTAATTGGAAGAATTACGACCGATCCGCACGAAAAAGGAAAAATGTGACCGTGCTTTCCTAAAAATGCGATTGCATTTGTGCTTCGGGGATTGTTGGACTCAAAAATAAAACTGAAGAATTTTCCCCAAAAAATGCGATCGTGGATCCCAAGAAAATGCGATCGCATTTTTCCATCGCTTTCTTAAAAAGTTCAGAAATAGCAGCATACTTCATTTAAATGGTCTGAGATACATTTTGACAAAAATGCGATCATGGTTATCAAAAATATAATCGCGGAAAGTGTCGAATTCCTGCTAAGCATATAAATAGAGCCCTATAACTCTTCAACTACCGTAATTTTTTTATTCCAGACGACAGAAAGACGCTTTTTTGAAGATTCCAAGTGCAAAGTGAAGATCTGAAGAACACAATTCGATCTGTATCATTAGTTTAGTAAGATTAATCATTCATAACTTATTTTAATCTTTTGTAATTAGTTTTTACCCATGTCATGCTAAAAACCCTATATTTCAGTTTCGCAAATGACTCAACTTTTCATGCAAGTAATCATTAGGAACGATTTTTTATAGTGATTACTGTTTAGTTTGATCATTTTTATGTTTAATTGAATTAATTTTGATTCAATTTTTGTTGGCTACTTTAATTTCTATTGAGTCATTCCAGTTATCTGATTGTTTAGATTTGTAATTCTCTTAATAAGTCAGTAAAGGTAACAAGTATTAGATTGATTATGTGTTTAGGAATTAACTCTAATCTAAACTGATCAGCCAAGTTTGTACGCTTCCGAGCTTGTGAGAATCATTGAACTTTACTGGGAATTTTACACTATGTCTAATGCTACTTTTCTCAATTAATTAAGAGCTTGTTTAGTTAAATCAGTAAAAGTAAGGTCTAATTCAAAGAGCTTATTATTAAACAATTTAGTAAAAGGAAATTGTTATAGATTATTAATGATTTTCAGTACCAGTTTAAATAGTACACAATTCAAATAATCGGGTTGGTTGTAGTGCTTATGCAGAGGGTCTATGTGATTGCTATTGCTTCGAGGCAGCTGAAGCCTCATGAGACGAATTATCCTACTCATGATTTGGAGATGGGGCTGTGGTTTTTTCCCTCAAGATTTAGCGTTACTACTTGTATGGGGTTCATTGTATCATTTACACGGACCACAAGAGTTTGAGATATCTGATGGATCATCCAAATCTGAACATGAGGCAACGCAGGTGGCTCGATGTGGTAACGGGTTACGATTGTGAGATCCTTTATCACCCTGGAAAGGCCAATGTGGTGGCCGATGCTCTTATCCGCAATACGGCTAGTACTCCTACCAGAGATTTGTGTTTGAGGATGACAATGATTACCCTACTCTTGGAGCATATTTGCGGGGCTCAGATTAAGGCTATGAAAGAGGAGCACGAGAAGAGTGAGCGCATAGTGGGTCAGGTGTCCTCTTTTGATTATGATAACTAGGGATATTTGACCATACATCGAATAGTTTGGGTTCCGTATTTGGGAGGTACTCGTCAGATTCCGATGGAGGAGGCGCACAAGTTGAAGTTCTCTATTCATTCAGGTGCGACAAAAATGTACAGAGACCTCCGGTTCGATTATTGGTGGCCCTACATGAAGCAGGATGTGGCTTGGTATGTGGAAAGGTGCTTGACTTGCAGGAAACTCAAGGTCGAGCATCAGCAACCGCACGACAAGTTGGAGCCGTTAGGGGTCCCGTTTGGAAATAGGAATAGATCACGATGGATTTCATCATGAAGTTACCACAGACACCGCGAGGGGTGGATTTGTTTTGGGTCATCGTGGATCGATTAACCAAGAGTGCGCATTTTATCCCCATTCAGAAGAGCATCCTTGCGCTGTAATTGGCAGATGTTTATATCTGTGAGGTTGTGGCACGACATGGGGTTCCGATATCCATGGTATCAGATCAGGATGTACGCCTTACTTCTAGATTCTGGAAGAGATTCCACGAGTAGTTGGGTACTTAACTACACTTCAACACGACTTTTTGTCACACCCCGGCCGTCGGCGGAAACACCAGACGATGTAACGTCATTTCTCGTATCATAGTTATCAACTTCCTGAAAACACATGCAATTTAAAAATACGTCAACATAAAGTTGGTGAGTCCACAGGTTTTGACTCCATATAAAAATAATACATTTTCCAAGTTCAAAAGTATAGTTTTGAAAGTATCATTTTGACTCTCCAACGTTTAGTATATATATCATAGGTATAAAAGTTTACTTACCAAATAAGTAGTTTACCTATAAGTCTCATATACTATGAATATAAGTGTTTGTAATTCCATACAAACGAAAGTTGCTACGTATAAATCTTATTTCAATTATATACGAGTAAAACCGCTACGTATAAATCTATTTCAATTCTATACGAATATGTGTGTTAGGTATAATTATCTACTTAATATACAAGTAGTACCTAGGGTATAAGTAGGGGGAAACTTATACTTAACATTAATACTTGTATAACGACAAAGTATAATGCTTCTAACAATTTGCTACCATGAGTCTGTAACCGCTGCTTGACAACAAAACCTCTGACAAAACAATACACTCATGATTTACCATGAGAAACAATACACTCATGATTTACCATGAGAAACAACACCGCACGCTTCATCGACGCCGGAATAAAAATAAAAGGAACGAATCGTCACTCGCTTGTCTTGGGTTGTAATTAACAACCACGAGTGGGGTCGTCAACCCGTATCTTATTCATACACGACTTCCTCGCTCACACGGGATTAACGGTTATAGGTCAGAGGACTTCCATTAAGATCCCCAATCTTAGTTGATGAATGAGGTAGCTCATGTAGACTTTGACGGCTTCCTATAGCTCTAACAACAAAAGCATTTTCATGTCTAAAACCCTAAGTCACTAGACTATGCTTTTAAACATTACTCCTAACTTCATAACATTTAGGCAGTATAACAGCTATATCTTGGAGTAAAACCAGGTTTTATATTGACCTAAAACCAATAATAACAACATATAACGTTCCTAGTTTTATCTTGACATAAAACTATCAATAGCAATACTAAGTTTTATCTTAACATAAAACTAACAATAACAACATATAACATATCCAGTTTTATCTTGACATAAAACCAATAACAACAACATATAACATACATGGTTTTATCTTGACATAAAACCAATAACAACAACATATAACATACATGGTTTTATCTTGACATAAAACCAACAATAACAACATATTTATCAATTAACATATAAAACTTCCGAGTATAACTCTGGAACTATATCGCACACATAATATATATAGAATCCTAAGTATAATTCAAGATCTACATTAGTACACTACTATAACAATAACAT